ATAATAAACAGTTGGAATTTTTCTTACTACCTCTGAGAGGCCAATTAATTAAGAGAAAAAAAACTTTTGAAGTGATAATCAAGCTAGACCAGTACAGACAGTTTGATAAGAAGTGTGAGAATACTTGGTAAGACAACTCCCACCTGTTTATGCTCTCTGTATGTGTGTATATATATCTCCTCAATATATGTTCCATTCTATATGCATCCGAAGAAGTGGGCTGTAGTCCACGAAAGCTTATGCTCTAATAAATTTGTTAGTCTCTAAGGTGCCACAAGTACTCCTGTTCTTCTTTTTGAAAAGTGATCATCACTTTAAATATGTATTCTCAAAACAGATTTTTCACCTTCTGCAAAAAATTAATATAAAACGTGATCAACCTCTCACTTGCAGAACAGGTGAAACTGTTGGATTTAGATTCTGCAATATTGTTTCTTGGTACAGAATCTAGTCTAAACATTTAAAGGATTCTGAAGTGTTATTATTTAGCCAAACTGCTTCTTCTAGATTTTGTAGTCAGTTACACAGATATGCAACCTAAAACCTAACAGACCATTTACCTGAAGTACAGAAATTATCAAACACTTTAATGTTTAACTGTTGAATTATTACATGTTTAATAGAAACGATGCAACATAATTTTGTTTAAAAACACCTCACACAGGTAGAAATTAAAGGTCCTTCATGAAAGCCCTGACTAACCTAAGTAATGCCAGTGAGACTCGTCCTGTACCGGTATAGATTGTATACCACCCAGCCTGAAATTACATGACCAAAAGGGGGGGGGGGGAGCCACTGTAGCAGACAAACAAGTAAAGCTCTAATCTTGCAAGTGGCCTCGCACTGGGTGACCGCTCTGCCCATACAGAGACCCACTGACTTCCATGGGCCCGCTGCGTCACTGCAAGGGCCCACCCACAATGCGCACACTTGCGGGACTGGGGCCTGCTTTGCGGAGCAGCGCCAGCACCCCGGGAGCCGAGGAGCGTTGGAAATAACGTTACTGTCGCGGGTCACGTTAGCCCGCTCAGGCAGCGCCCGGCGCAGGGTGAACGCAGCGAGAACGAGCGCTGCCGGGGGGCTGTTCCCGCAGGAGAAGGGGGCACGACGTGCAGGGTGATTGCGGCACCCAGGGCTCCGGCGGCAGAGGTGGCTACGGGCGTGAAGCGCGACTAGGGCCCAGCCCCGCAGCGCACCCCCGTAGGACGGGGGCCTCGGCGATAGCTAGCGACCAGCTTGGATGTCCCTCCGTCGGCCCGGGGCAGCACAACGTGCCCCCCATCAGTGCACCCCGGGCGGACATTTCCCAGACAGCCGGAGGCTGCGGGAGAAGCCGGCCCCGCGAAAGCGCGCTGGGCCTCTCGCCCCCCCGGGACTCCCGACACTCACCCGTCGCAGGGGTCCGTCATTCTCTTCGCTGGGGGTCGCTCCCCGTGCACCCTGCGAGCGGCTCCTGGCCTCACACGGCCCGGCTAGACGGTGGGGGTGGAGGCGGGGGCGCGAGGAGATGGGGACACGGCGCAGGCTCCGCCGCCACCGCTCACAATCCCGACGCCCGGCCAGAGCCCTCTGAATGCGGGAGGGGGGAGCAGGACTCCAATCACTGCAGCCAGCGACACCAACCAAGCACCGGGGAGGAGGAGGCGGAGCGCGCAACCGCCGCAGCCAGACTGGCTCACTCGGGGCTAGCACCCCAGTGGGACACCACCGCCCTCACGCGCCGCCAACCTCCAACTGCTACCAGTGCCTCCCGAGGGGAGCCGAGCGCTGCTCGGCGGAGATTCCCGAAGGCTTCCCGCCCGCCCCCTGACACGCGAGCGCTCGGAGGAGCTCGCCAGTGCCCCCTCCCCCCGACCCGAACTTTCGGAGATCACCAACCGCCGCCCCGACGGCGCGAAGACCAGTAACCACCCGCCCGGAGATCCCCAAACCCGAGCGCTGGGAGACCGCCAAACCCTCCCCCGCAACCGGAGCACTCGAGATTACCAACCACCCCCCCAACCTGAGCTCTGGGAATCACCAACTCCAAACGCTTGGAAGAGCTCAACTCACTGTCCCCCGAAGTCCAGTGCTTGGAGATCGGCAAGATTGCCAAAGGGTTACCCCAGGGAGTTCCTTGAGATGAACTGACCGGAGCCTGGGCCTTTCTGCTCCCTCAACCAGCAGCACAAACTACCCCTGCTCCCTCCTAAATCCCCTCCGTGGTGCTTCCTCTGTGTTGCCTACCCACTCCCTCCCATGGTTACTAGCAGGGCCTGTTGGTATTGCTGGGAGCTCCAGCCCCCAGCAAAGACATGCACTGTTTTAAATAAATCACTTCAACTCTCCACAACTGCCCAAACCAGCACCCATTAGGATTATCTCTTGTGGTGCCTCCAAAGAAGAGAGGCAGATGGCCTTCCAGATCAGTACAGGAGGGTGTTCCAGCAAGGGGAAGTGGCCAAATGGCTGTGTGAGGCTAACGTCCTTAGCAGAGCAGAAGTAGTGACATGTTGGGAGGTGAGAGCAGCATTAGAAAGAATTATCAGTGGTTTTGAAGGAGGAAAATAAGCTTGGACCTGATGCAGCGAAAAACAGAGTCAATCCACGGTTTCAAAGAGCTCTGAAGGTTATGTTAGCAGCTGTGCTTTGGATGGATTCAAAGGGAGCAACATGCATGTTAGAGTGGCCAAGAGGAGGTGGTTATAGTAGCAAGATGGGAGTCTGGACAAGAGTTTTAGCTATGGGAGAAGGAAAGTTTGAATTCTGGAAAGGTTACAAGAGAAGTGGCGGGATATTGTTGTAACCTTTATGTACAGGATGAAGGAGAACAACTTTTATGGTTTAGAAAAGGTTCAGAGAAGGGCAACTAAAATGATTAGGGGTTTGGAGAGATTAAAGAGGCTAGGACTTTTCAGCTTGGAAAAGAGGAGACTAAGGGGGGATATGATAGAGGTATATAAAATCATGAGTGATGTGGCGAAAGTGAATAAGGAAAAGTTATTTACTTGTTCCCATAACATAAGAACTAGGGGTCATCTAATGAAATTAATTGGCAGCAGGTTTAAAACAAATAAAAGGAAGTTCTTCACACAGTGCACAGTCAACTTGTGGAACTCCTTGCCTGAGGAGGTTGTGAAGCCTAGGATTATAACAGGGTTTAAAAGAGAACTGGATAAATTCATGGAGGTTAAGTCCATTAATGGCTATTAGCCAGGATGGGTAAGAAATGGTGTCCCTAGCCTCTGTCTGAGAGTGGTGATGGACGGCAGGAGAGAGATCACTTGATCATTACCCCTTAGGTTCAGTCCCTTTGGGGCACCTGGCATTGGCCACTGTCAGTAGACAGGATAGTGGGCTGGATGGACCTTTGGTCTGACCCAGTACGGCCATTCTTGTGTTCTTATGTTGCCCAGATAATTCTCCACATAACTAAGCCAGCTAAGACTGTGACACCTTACCCCTTTCACCTCCCTAGTGAGATGCATTGCTTACTGGTGAATTTGCTAAAGGCCATGCTTTGCATTGAATTTCTCAGCTCCTCATTAGCATGGTGCTGTCTGTCTTCAATTAGTGCTTCCCAACCACTGGTATAGCCACTCAGAAGGAGTCCTGGTGGTGTTGCACTGTGTGACGTGTAGTGTGGCACACTGCCCACCTGGACTCTAAGCATTCTATGCCACACACCCCAGAACTACACCATTTCCACTGTGGGCAGGGCCTTGTGCAGCTGCAGAGAAGGGACAGGATTTACACCTTAATGTTGCAAAAGAAAAGTGATTAGAAGTATTCAGTTTCTGTTTATGTTAAGAGCTTTATATGCATAGCCTACTGCAAACGAAAACTAAAATTGCTCAGACCTACCCAGTTTCCCTTTGCAATTGAACAGAGCACTGCTTAGGACACAGCATTTGCTGCTGGCAGGATGGATGCCTACCCAGACAAACTCTTTCTAGTGAGCAGCTGATTGGAAAGTGTGGTGAAGACACTTATGGGTGGCAGATGGCCTCACACAAACGCTTTGTAGTAAACACTAGCATGCATGGTGTGGCATCCACTTCACAGTCTAGCTCTATTCCATTTGTTGGTATTAGATAGAATTTATATACCTTCTGCACTTCAGCTTCTAACTACTACCTCTGGATCTGAGATAATAGCTCAGGCTTTACAGCACAGTTCATGTATATTTTAGACCCTGATTGAATCAGAACTGTGGGGTGAGTACTTGTATCATGTTAACCTATTCTAGAAAACAAAGAGGAAGGTATCATTTCAAACCTAATGCCTTTGCAGCTTTTTTGTTTTTTACATGAACACAATTAAATGCACACTTTTAAAAATGTGTCTAGGTGACTAAATACTGTGGTGAAAAGCACAGTAGAAACGCAAACCTTTTCTTAAATTTTCAGAAACATCCTGCCTTTTGTCCCTGTGCCAGAAAAATGTGTCAGCACCCAAAATGAGAACAGCCTACAGCACAGACAAAAATCACTGCTTCTACACTGGGCAGTATAGAACCCAGAGAAACGAGGTACTCTTTTTCTTTGAAATTATTGACATGTATGCAGTTCTTCCACTCTGCCTATCTGCTCATAACAACAAAACAGACAGTAGAGAAGAATGGGACAGGCATGTGTTCTCACAACCCAAAGCACAACTGCTAGAGCTAACTTTAAGGCAGCGGGCTTAACAATATCTCTGTAAAGTAATAAGCTGTGAGGTAATGTGATACTGAGCCTTTCATGCATAGGTTGATTCAAATCCAATATAGGTTCCTAATGACCAAAAGCTGCTAACATTGAACATCTGTTTGATGCTGTATGTGAAATGTATAACTGGTTTTCATCCAGTTCTTGTTGGGCAGATTTATACATCACAAAAACTGCAATTGCAACGGGTATCTTTTAGGGTGCTCATTGGAATAGTCTTGCACTGAATATGCCTGAAGTGTTCCCTCCCAATCAGGACTGAAGCATGTGTTGTGTTGTGGATTAAGTTTGTGTTGCCATTGCCCACATTGTATCTATTCTCTGGATAAATAGAGGGCTCAGGTAATGTGGCATCTTTCATAAATACTAAATTTAATAATAAAATGTAACACACTATAAGGCCTGGTCCCCACTAACCCCCCACTTCGGACTAAGGTACGCAAATTCAGCTACGTTAATAATGTAGCTGAATTCTAAGTACCTTAGTCTGAACTTACCGCGGGTCCAGACGCGGCAGGGAGACTCCCCCGTCGATGCCGCGTACTCCTCTCGCCGAGCTGGAGTACCGGCGTCGACGGCGAGCACTTCCAGGATCGATCCGGGATCGATTTATCGCGTCTAAACCAGACATGATAAATAGATCCCAGAACATCGATTGCCTGCCGCCGGACCCTCCGGTAAGTGTAGACGTACCCTAAGAAAATAGCATTAGAATAATGGCAAGGTTGCATGGGATGGAGGTAAATCTGTGTCTAAATGAGTGTCAGACACCTTTGCACAGAAAGTTACTCAAATGGCTGGGTTTGTGATGGCCATGAGTAAAAAAAATTAGATAGAAAGCAAAGGATTGGAAAGAGCCAATAACCATGACTCTGATTTCAAACTGGAAAGAGTTTGTCTGATTTACTGATTCTGGTGTAAATCAGAAATAATGCCAGCAAAGTTAATGGAGGTACAATTGTGTAAAACCCACATAAGTGATGTGAGAATCTGGCCCATTATTTATAGGTCCAAAGTAATATGTTTAAAAAAAAGGGTTTGCATGTAGACAAGAGTTAATAGCAATTCAAAAGGAGCAGGATGTAATAAATATAAGGTGAGAAATATCAGAGCTGTCACTCGCAAATGTTTTCATTATATACTCCATAAAAGACCCAATCTTGCAATTCTTACCAAGCTAAACTTGGGAGATTGTCTTGAAGGCTTTGCCTGAGTGAGGACTGAAGAATCGGGCCTGAAATGGGATATTTTTGCACATTTCTGTTTGGGGCAGAGTGTTAGTATGTGATAAATCTGGCTGAGGATGATCTATCTATTTAAACCAGGCACTTGGTAGTGAACACCATGAGTAGTATCTGGTCAATGAGGCATATATGCATGCAGCCCACCAGTTATCAATAGCATAAACTCACCTGGCCAGTGACTCAAGACTGTAGGAGTGCGCAAAAACTGGGAAACCCCACTCTTTAATAAAATGGGTATTTATTTTGATAACAGAATCTCAGTGTAACGTTGTGCAGTCTATATGATTTTATAAAAACATGATAATAAGCGAATATAATGTAACTGGGATAGTTTTCTAAAGATTTGATAATAAGTGAATATAATGCAACTGGGATATGCTTCATGCAAAAGGTCTCTTGTAAGGTATCATTACAAAGT